AGTGAGTGAGTGAGTGAGTGAGTGAGTGAGTGAGTGAGTGAGTGAGTGAGTGAGTGAGTGAGTGAGTGAGTGAGTGAGTGAGTGAGTGAGTGATTCAGATTCAGCACCAGAGACAGCTACTGGGTTTGTCCATAGTCTAGTATTTTTTTTTTCTTTTTACTTTGGATTCATTCATGAGCCAAAGATATATGAATAAATAAATAAAAATAATTACTATACAAATAATTGAGAGTCCGTTTTGCATCGTTACTTTTTAATTGCTAAATTAAATTTTACTAGAAGAACTTTGAAACACTTGGCATTTCCAAAAATACTGTTTTTATCAGCACAAATAGATCAGCTTTAAACTCGTATTTTTTTAATTAATCCAACTAATTTTGTTGAGGATTTGTGTAATTCGCTGCTTTGTTTCTCATTTCCACCTATTTGTTTGAGCTATTTGGAGATGAATATAAAAAAATGTATATTTGCTTTAGTGTCAATAATAAATCAATTATATGAAAGTTATGAGTACCAGTGGGCACTAATAGTGGGTGTGTGTTGTTTATTTGTTTGTTGGTTGGTTTGTTTTAGGCAATTATAGCCACATGTTTTTCAACATTGTGCATGCTTTTGTAATAACTTAATTTAGTTTTTTATAATTTCTGGACGTGTGAAAAATACAGATAATTTAGGCTTTTTATTTTGGTAAATATTGGACATAATGAGTGAACTAAACATGGAAAATATATATTTATATAATATTTTTCTGCAACATTATGTAGTTCAGCGTGATGAACTCTTAGGGCCGCTGTCGACTAGTCTGTGTTTATTAGGAGATGAAACCAGGCGTTCCTGATTTTAGATAGATGACGACACAAAGACACAGTAAGCGCTGCGGGCTGTTGACGCTGCGATCTGCCTTTCTTCACCATTATTTCAGTGGATCTGTTTCGTTTTAGGTTTTAAGTTGATTACTTAAACTAGCAGAAAATCCAGATCGATTTAAATAAAGGACAACTGGGATTTTAGTCGGTGTGTTTTCAAGAAGCAGGAGAGCCAGAACAATGAAAGGACGGGAGCTGCTCATTTTCACGCTTTTGTCTTTCTGCTCGGTGAGAGCACAGATCAGCTATTCTATTCCTGAGGAAATGCCCAAAGGATCTTTCGTCGGTGATGTTGCCCAAGATCTGGGTCTGGATGTGAAAAGACTGAGATCAGGAAAGGCCCGCATTTATACTGGGGACAACGCGGAGTACATGGAGCTGAATACAGAAAAAGGAGTCCTCCTCGTTAAGGACAGAATCGACAGAGAGATTATCTGCGSGCAGACAGAGCCGTGCGCCCTTCATTTCCAAATCATTTTAGAAAACCCGATGGAATTTTACAGCATTGTGGTCGAAGTCACGGATGTCAACGACAACGCCCCGAGTTTTAAACGAGGTGAAATGAATTTCAGGATAAGTGAGTCGGCTGTTACAGGCACAGCTTTTGCGCTCGAGCAGGCGATAGATCTGGACGTGGGTAAGAATGGTTTGCAGAATTACTTGTTAAATCCAACAACTAATTTTGCGTTGAGGCTGCAGAATCAAGCAGATGGAAGCAAGATGGTAGAAATTGTTTTGCAAAAATATTTAGATAGAGAAGAGAAGAATCGCCTCGCTCTTGTTCTAACTGCTGTAGATGGCGGTGAGCCCCAGCTCTCTGGATCAGTTCAGATAAATGTAAATGTGCTGGACAGTAATGATAACGCTCCAGTTTTTACACAGAAATTATATAAAACTACCTTGAAAGAAAATTCCCCTCCAGGAACTGCAGTGATTAAGGTTAGTGCCTCAGATTTAGATGAGGGATCAAATGCACAAATATCATATTCAATAATTAWCTCTGCTGATGACACATCTGATATATTTAACATTAACAAAAGCACTGGTGATATTAAACTGGTGGGAATCGTTGATTTTGAAAAAAAGAAACAATATCAAATATATGTCCAGGCAACTGATGAGGGAGAACTAAGAGATTCCAGTGAAGTTATTGTAGAAATAACTGATACAAATGACAATAAACCTGTAATAAATGTTATGTCGAAATCCACTGCCATAACAGAGGATGTTAAACCAGGAACTGTTGTGACAATAATAAACATTCTGGATCCAGATTCAGGTGAAAATGGAAACGTTCACTGTTATATAAATAGAGATATCCCTTTTTCAATTTCTTCAACATCTAATAAGTTCTACAGTTTAGTGACAGACAATGAGTTGGACAGAGAGAGAGCCTCTGAGTATAATATCACAGTGAGCTGCTCTGATGAAGGACTGCCCTCCCTCTCCAGCAGCGTCACTCTCACCTTACAGATCTCTGATGTGAATGACAACCCACCTGTCTTTGACAGCAGCTCATATGAGGCCTACATTGTAGAAAAT